ACCGAGCTCTGGGGTGAGAGCCTCTTCTCTTTCACACGGCCTCCTAACATGCCCAGCTTTCCCTGCCTGCCCTGAACTTGCATAACTGTTTCCTAAAATAGGTCTTAATTTGTTTTATCTGCCTGAGCCCTCGAAGACCTAACCCTATCCCTCCATCTTCAACAACTTTATTTCTGTAAAAATGTGTGTGTGAACACACCTGTGCACTGGTGCGTGTGTGGAGGTCAAAGGACAACCCGCAGAAGTCTCCTCCACCATTCAAGTTCTGTGGACTGAACTCGGTCAGACTTGTCAGCAAGAACATCTCCAAGGTCCCTCGGGCTTTTTTGAGTTTTTGTATGGTTTTTAAAATTGGGGTCTTGCTATGTAGCATTTTTTTTCTGCTTCAGATTTCCTTTTGTTGTTGTTGTTGTTGTTGTTAGACAGGGTTTCTCTGCACAGCCTTGTCCTAGAACTCTCTCTCTCTCTGTAGAACAGGCTGGCCTCAAATGCAGAGATCCACCTGCCTTGCCTTCTGAGTGTTGGGATTAATGGCGAGGACCACCACTTCCCAGCCTGCCTCAGGCTTACCACACCGAGGTTACAGCTGTGTCCCCTCACCTGAGTCTGCTTCCCCTTTTAAACGGTGCTGAGGAGGTGGCTTACTCAGCAAAAGCATGAGCATCAGAGTTTGGATCCCCAACACCCATGTAAAAGCCATGACTGTAAGCCCGGCCTGGGAAGTCGACACAGGAGGATCTTGGAGGGTCTTGGTGCTCTTGGGCCAGCTGGCCTAGTCTCCTAGTGAGTTCTCGGTGTAGTAAAGGCCCCTGGTGGTTGCCGGCTGGAGAGACAGCTCAGCAGTTAGAATATACTGTTCTTGCAGAGTGGAGAAGTTCAGTTTCCAGTGCCCTTGATGAGCAGCTCACACCTGCCTGGGGACCCAGCCACTCCAGCCTCTGCAGGCACCTGTCTGTACTCCTCCATGAATTCTCCACACACACAGGTGCACACAATTTGAAATAATGAGTCCTTTTTAAAACTAGGTTGTTGAGCTGGGCATGGTGGCACACACCTTAATCTCAGGACTCCAGAGCCAGGGCAAGCAGATTTCTGTGAGTTTGAGGCCAGCCTGGTCTACATATCAAGTTCCAGGTCAGCTTGGGTCACATAGTGAAATGCTATCTAGAAAGATAGGAAGAAAGAAAGGAAGGGAGAGAGGGAGGGAAAGATAGTGTGTGTGTGTGTTGATCAATAGACAAAGATACCCAATACCAACCTCTGCCTTTCATAGGTACTTGCACACACATATGCACACACCCTCAGAACATGTTAGTATAGCGTGCGTGCGTGTGCACGCGCGCGAACACACACACACAGAATTAATGTTTGTACTCCTTCCTATGAAGAGGGGCCAAGCGTCCAGCGGCTGGTTTCTTCCCTTCACTTTCCGGCTTCTCACAGTCTCGTCACAGCCTTTGCTGTTTCCGTTCTTTCGGTAGCAAACTCCTGCTTGCTTCTGAGCCTGTGCTCGTGGGTTCAGCTCTGAGCAGTGCCTCTCACCCCACCTCCACACTGCACAAGGTCATCTTCTGCGGACTCAGCTTCACTGACACTCCAATTTTCCAGTTTTGTTTGTTTTTGAGATAGAGTCTCACTGGAAGCTCTGGCTGTCCTGGAACTCACTATGTAGATCAGTTTGGCCTAAAACTCAGATCTGCCTGCCTCTACTTCCCGAGTACTGGGATAAAAGGTGTGTGCCACCACACCTGGCCCAGTCTGTCTGTCTTTCTTTTTTATTTGGATTTCTCTGTGTAACAGTCCTGAATGTCCTGGAACTGGTTTTGTAGACCAGGCTGGCCTTGAACTCAGAGATCCACCTGCCTCCCAACCGCCGCCCTGTTATAGTCTTTATTTCTTAAAACTTACTTCTTTGTGTCTGTTGGAGCTGGGGGTTGGGTGTGTCACCATGTGTATGTGGAAGTAGATATAGCTTGTGGGAGTCCGTTCACTCCTTCGACCTGGGTCCTGGGAACCAAACTCAGGTTGTTAAGCTTGGTAGTAAAGATCAGAAATTTTTTTGCATATCATCCTTAAACAAGGGCCATGCTAAATCTCTGCAATGTTCCAATTTTAGTGTATACACTGCCAAAGTGAATATTCAGTCTATTTTATCTCTCCTGTCTCAATCTTTCAACGATCTTCATCAATTGTGTGCTTTCCCTCATCACAGTGCCATGCCCGTATTCCTAGCACTTGGGAGGTAGAGTCAGGAGGAGCAGGAATTCAAGGACATCCTCAGCTACATAGTGGGTCTGTGCTGTGTTGTTTTGTTGGAGACACAATCTCATTATATAACCCTGGCTGGCTCTAAACTCACAGACAGCTGCTTATCTCTGCCTCCCAAGTGCTGAGAGATTACATGGTGAGCTTGAGATCAGCTTGTGATACACGAGGTAAAAATAAAGCACACACACACACACACACACCCCTACCTTATTTAGCTGAGCCAACCTCCAGGATGGTCAAGTGGTTTGTCTGCAGAGGTATATGGCAAACACAGTAAGCCTGACCAGGGACTTTAAGTCATTTTCACAATGGACACTTCCATGTTACATGAGTGGGTTTTTTTGTTTCTGATAAATTGAGATTTCTCTTTGCAGTCTGCAATATGAGATTGGGAGGAGGAACATCTTAGAAACTTTAATGTCTTTGTTCATTCACTGGGAGGGGGCCCAAAAAGCGAGCCCAAGACAGTGCCAACTGCCTGGGAGAGGAAAGACGTTGAGGTGTCCAAAGGCAGGGAAGAGGCTTTGTGTGGGTGAGGGTAGGGTCAAGCTGGAGTTCTGCAAACGAGGGTGTGGGGTGCTTACACAGATGAAAAGTCAAGGTTGCCAATTTTGCCAGAGGAAGCTCAAAAGGGGAACTGAATACTGAACAGGGTTAGCAGTGGGGGTGGGGTGGGGGGTGGTTCAGAAAAGGTGGGACGGAATAGTCATTTCGGCTGCTGCTTACCTTCTGTTTCCCACATCTGCTGTAACCAGATGGTAGGAAGCTATCTCTCTCCTGCTGAGCCAGAGGGATTAAATCACCCAATCTTTGGTCCCCCTCCTGGTGGACACCAAACTGCTCTGGAGCAATAGCAATTAGCTATCTTCTCTCCCCTCCCCTTACTCGCTGGGAAACTTTATCTTTGATCCCCTAGTGGATTATATTGATATCCTCTTTAAATATTGACCAGGGATTTCCCCCCAAATCCCTAAGGCTTTCTCTCTACAGTGACCATACTGAGAGCTTTCACTGATAAACACCTGTCTCCCTCCGCCCCCTCATAGACTTAATAATTTTACAACTTTAAGAACTATTCCACTAAAAGGTGAAAAAAATCTGGAGTTCCTTTATTCTGTCATTTATTCCTTCCTTCCTTCCTTTCTTTCTCTTTTGGTTTTTTGAGACGGGGTTTCTCTGTGGCTTTGGAACCTATCCTGGAACTAGCTCTTGTAGACCAGGCTGGCCTCGAACTCACAGAGATCCGCCTGCCTCTGTCTCTCAAGTACTGGGATTAAAGGCATGTGCCACCACTAACTCACCTTATTCTCTTTTTAAAAGAGGATTTACTTTTATTTTGTCCATGAATACAGAACACACAGGCAACTGGTGCTTGCAGAGGCCAGGATTGGGTGTTAGATCCTCTGGAACGGGGTACAGACAGTTGTGGATGCTGGGAACTGAACTTGGGCACTATACAGGAGTAACAAGTACTCTTAACTACTAAGCCATCTCTCCAGTATCCAAGTCATAAATATTATATATGTATCTATACATAAATACATAATGCACACAGACACATACAATATATATGTACATATATATGTGTGTGTGTATATATATATATACATACATACATACATACATATAGTCTATGAAGTCCTGGCTGTCCTGGAGCTTGCTATGGAGACCAAGCTGGCTGTGAATTCACAGAGATCGACTTGCCTCTGTCCCCCAGTGCTGGGATTAAAGGCATGCACCACCATGCCTGGTCTGCCTTGATATAAACACAAGGACACAGACTTAAACATTAGTAATATGTTATTTAAAGAATATAATTAACAGTGGGGCAGTGGTGGCACACGCCTTTACTCTCAGCACTCAGAAGGCAGAGGCAGTTGTATCTCTGTGTCTGAGGTCAGCCTGGTCTACAGATTGAGTTCCAGAATAGTCAGGGCTACAAAGAGAAACTCTTGTCTTGAAAAAAACCAAAAAACAAATGAATAAAAGAATGATTATAATTACAAAATTAATAAGTAAAACGCAGAGAGGCAGAGGTAGGCAGATCTCTGCCTACATAGTGAGACCCAGGACAGAAGGACTACATGGTGAAACTCTGTCTAAAAACCAGAAAAAGACAGATCCACAAACCTGTACCAAGGCACACACTCTAAATCACATAACAACAAAACTGCAGAAGTTACAGATGTTAATAAGTCAAAAAATAAAATGTAAACGCTCACTGAACAAGCCTGACAAACCTGGTTGGACCTCGCTCTCCTGCATGGCCCAACTCCCAACACGTGGTCCTTACACACGTGTGTATCACACACACTGATAAATACAAAATTGTAACCAACGTTTTTAAAAGCTAATAAAAGCAGCCCAGCATGGCAGCTCGAGCCTGTATCCCTGCACTTGGAGGCAGAGGCAGGAGGATCAGGAATTCAAAGTCAAAATAAACAGCAAAGCAGCCACAGAGCATCCCTAGCATCCCGCGGTAAGGGCGCTGTCCCCACCCCCTTCCCGGGCCCACGCGACGCTGATTGGCTGAGCCCAGTAAGGGGCGGGGCGGGCTGGGCGGGGCGCCGCGGGCGGAAGCCCGGTCTCGCGAGATCGCGCTGCTTCCGCATTTCGGCTCCGGGAAGTGCGGGAGGCGGCGGCGGCGGAGGGCGCTGCCGTCCGTGCTGTTTCGCGGCGGCTGGGACCCAGTTCCACGCCCGGGCAGCGCCGGGCCGGGCCGTGAAGCTTCGCCTCGGCGGCCCTGCTTAGCCGCTCTCCGCGTTCCGGTGCCCGCGGCGGCGCGGAGTCGGCCTGGGGCGGGGGCCGCGGCCCCTCGGGCTAGCGAGGATGAGCTTCCTCTTGTGAGTGGGCGGGGCCGGGCGGGCGGGGTAGACGGGGCCGGACGTGCCGCGTCGGGAAAGGTTCGGGCAGGCCGGCGTGCAGGTTCACAGTGGTTCCGCACGGGTTTGCCTTGGAGCAGCCGGCCGGCCGCTGGCTCCTTACTGAGTTTTTCTCCCTGCTGCAGTCCACGCAGCCTCGACCCTGGCCGCCTCCCTCCCGCCGTAGCTTAGGCCACCGGGACAGGCCTGCTGTAAGTGTGGTTAGCCCAGGCTGACCCCTCTGCCTCCCCCGGGCGCTGGGACTTCTTCTTTTTAAAGGTTTTTAGTTTTTTTTTTTTTTTTGAGAACTTAGTAGATGCGGTTATTTTTCCATCATATCCACGCTTCTGTCCAATGTCCTCTCATTTCCCTTTCAAATGTATGTTCTCTTCTATATGTGTGCATGAGTGTGTACATACACATATCTATGTGTGCACGCGTACGCACACACGTACCGAATATAGTTAGTGTTGCCTGGGTGTACTTGGGTGTAGAGCTGACCACTATCCCGGGCACTCTAGTTAAAAAAATAAATAAATAAAAACTTGACTTCCTGTGGATTGTCTGTAGGTCTTCAACTAGGTGAGGTTAGTGTCTTGCACTCTTTGGCTATTCTGAATAACGCTGTTGTGAACGTGTGTGTGTGTGTGTGTGTGTGTGTGTGTGTGTGTGTGTGTTAGCTCCCTCCAGGCCATTAAGAGTGAATTGTTACGTTAGTCTTTTGAGGCACTATCAAGCTATGCACTGCATTTTCTGTTCCTACCTCACTATATGAGTTTTCAAAATTTTCCAATTCACATCTGTCAGTTGTCTTGTTATGCTTGAGTGTGAAGTAGAATTTCTTGGTTTCATGCTATTTGAGGATAAAGCCTTTTGGGAGCCTTTTCCTTTTTTAAAATCAGATTCCTTTTATTTTGTTAACACCCGTTAACTGTACAAATCAGTGGATTTCACTGTGACATTCCCAAATGTCATATATGTGTATATGTGGTGCAGTGGTCTTTTTGGTTTGAGTTGTAAAAATTCTTCATAGATTTGAGTGTCTTATCACATCTATGACTTACAAATGGTTTCTTCCATCCTCTGGATTATTTAACTGTCTTGATGCCATCATGAAGCATGGATATACTTTTACAAGATTTAGTTACTTTTTGTTTCTTTGAGACAGGGTCTCACTATGGAGCTCTGGCTGTCCTAGAACTCACTATGTAGATCAGGCTGGTCTCAAACTCAAAGAAATGTGTCTGCCTCTCTCTCTAGAGTGCTGGGATTAAAGATGTATGCCATTATGCCCAGTTTAAGATTTTTTACTTTTTGTTTGTGTTTTGCCTGCATGTATGGATGTGTATCTTCTACGTCCAGTACCCATGAATGCCAGAAGGGGGCATCAGATCCTGTTGTGGAATATTAGTTGAAGGCGTGTTACATTTGTTTCTGCTGTGGAACATTTGTTTAATGATGCAAAGCTGTGTCCTTTTATGTTGCATTTAACTCTGTGAAGTTGTGTTACTTTGCCAGTCTAAAACACCTGATTGGTTTAATTAAGAGCTGAATGACCAATTGCTAGGCAGGAGAATGGATAGCTGGGGCTGCCAGGCAGAGAGAATAAATAGGAAGAAAAATCTAGGTTCCAGAGAGGAGGGAGGATTGGGGGGGGGGTTCAGCTAGCCACACAACAGATAGGGAGTAAGAAGTAAAGAAAAGATATACAGAAATACAAAAAGGTAAAAACCAGAAGTAGATGGGCTAACTTAAGAAAACTGGCTAGAAATAAGCCAAGCCAAGGCTGAGCATTCATAAGTAAGAATAAGTCTGTGTATTCATTTGGGAGCTGGGTGGTGCCCCTCACCCCTCAAGAGTAAAGAGTAATAAAATCCAACTTCAAGATCCCTTAGAACTTGAGTTATGACCCGGTGTTGGTGGCCCATGCCTTTAGTTCCACCAGCACTTGGGAGGTAGAGGCAGGTGGATCTCTTTGAGTTCAAGGCCAGCCTGGTCTACAGAGGGAGTTCCAGGACAGGTTCCAAAGCTACACAGAGAAACCCTGTTTTGACCCCCCCCCCAAAAAAAACTTGGAGTTGTGGATGGTTGTAAGCCACCATGTGGGTGCTGGGAACTGTACCCCAGTCATCTGCAAAATCAGTAAGTTTTCTTAATCACTGAGCCATCTCTAGCCTTTGAAACACTAATGTGGTTTGTCAAGATGGGTTTCTCTGTGTAACAGCACTGGCTGACCTGGAACTAATTTTGTAGACCAGCCTGACTTTAAACTCTCGGAGGTCTGCCTGCTTCTGCTTCCCTAGTGCTGGGATTAAAGGTGTGGGCCACCACGTCCCAGCACACAAATCTTAATTTATAATAAGATCATATTGAATCTTAAGAAATCACTTATTCTCCATATTTAGTGTCCTGTCATTCAGTTTCCAATCCATGTGTTCCTGGGCTGTCTTTCTGACTTAATACTTCCCTACTGAATCTTGTTCTTTATAAAGTATGATATTTATTTAATTATTTATTTATTTATTTATTTTGTGTGTGTAGTGCTTTCATAATTCTTTCTTCACTACTTAAAATTCACATTTCTCAGGTGAGGTGTAAATCCACTGGTCTGTTCTTAACTCATCTTAGAAGTTATCATAAATTCTGGAATGTATTCTTTTGATGGTTTTTCTATTTTGTTGTTTTAGTGCTTTCTATGGGCAAAATAGGCTCTGCTCTAATTTGGTTCTGTAATGTGTTCAGCTGTGTTTTGAATCTTTGTGTGAACATATGTGCCTGTTCATTCTTTATTACTAGACCGCATCCCACGATATTTTGTGCTGTCCAAATCTAAGAGTCAGGCCTACAGGAAGATGGAGTGTAGGTTTGTTAAAAGATGCTGCCATTACAAGCACTGGAATCTAGAGTGCGCCCCTGGTTAAAATGCTCTGGAAGATGGGGAATAACAAATTGCCCTGTGTAGCAAATTGTGGTGCTGTTCCTTCACTAAGATTCTGAATATTTCACTTGTTTCATGTATGTAGATGTGTGGCTGGAACGTGCGCACACCTATGTGGGTGTGTCCCTGGTGTGCAACGTGTGTGTGTCACTGGTGCGCACACGGGTGTGGGTGTGTCACTGGTGCACGTGTGTGGGTGTGTCCCTGGTGCACACGTGTGGGTGTGTCCCTGGTGCACACGTGTGTGTGTGTGTGTGTGTGTGTGTGTGTGTGTGTCCCTGGTGCACAGAGGCTGGAAGAGGGCACTAGGGGCCCTGTTGTCACTCTTTGCCTCTTTCTTTGAGGCAAGGTCTCTGAACTTGGAACTCTTTCTCCCTGTTCTGGCCAGCAAGCCCCAAATATCCTCCTTATCTTAGTGTTCCGTTGCTGTGAAGAGACATTAAGACCATGGCAGCTGTTGTAAAGGAAAGCATTTAAGTGGGGCTTGCTTAACAGTTTCAGAGGTTTAGTCCACTGTGGTCACAGCAGGGAGCGTGGCAGGCGGCACACAGGCGGGCATGGTGCTAAGGAAGTGACTGGGGTTCCACACCAGGGGTGCAGGCGGGAGGGGGGGCAGGCGGCAGGGAGAGGCGGGCCCCGGAGGCCACCTCATGATACACTTTCTCCAACAAGGCCACACCTAATCCTTTCAAATGGTGCATTTAAATGTGTGAGCCTATGGGCGCCTTTTTTTTTTTTTTTTTTTTTTTTTTGAGATTTATTGTTTATACAGTGTTCTGCCTGCAGGCCAGAAGAGGGCACCAGATCTCATTATAGATAGTTGTGAGCCACTATGTGGTCACTGGAAATTGAACTCAGGACCTCTGGAAGAGAAGCTAGAATTCTTAACCATTGAACCATCCATCTCTCCAGCCCTTGAGGGAACAATTTTTATTATCAATATGTTTATTCCAATATTTATTGTGTGTGTGTGTGTGTGTGTGTGTGTGTGTGTGTGTGTGTGTGTGTGTTGGAGGCGCCCACCTTTAATCTCCCAGCACTCAGGAGGCAGAGGCAGGCGGACCTCTGTGAATTTGAAGCCAGCCTCGTCTGTAGACTATAGAGCTAGTTCCAGGACAGGCTCCAAAGCAATACAGAGAAACCCTGTCTCAAAAAAAAGAAAAAAAAATTAGTAATATATGCTCTTAACTGCTTAGCTATGTTTCCAATCCCCTAATAGAGCCATTTATATGCCAAAAATGCCAGTCTGCTTTCATTCCTAAAAAAAAATCATACATTTTTATTTTTAACCCAACAGCAGCAGCCGCTCTTCGAAAACATTCAAACCAAAGAAGAACATTCCTGAAGGTTCCCATCAGTATGAACTCTTAAAACATGCAGAAGCCACTCTGGGAAGTGGCAATCTGAGGCAAGCTGTCATGTTGCCAGAGGGAGAGGACCTCAATGAATGGATTGCTGTTAACAGTAAGTTCTTAAGAACGTTTAACTTGTTGATTTATAGAGTTTGCTAAGATCTTGTTTAATGAATTTTCTTTTATAGATAAAACGTGTAATATATAACAACTGTCTATAAAAACACGAATACAAATACATTTAGACTCTACTTCTGAAAGTACTTGCTTGTGTGGTTGAGGAGAGAGACTTGAAGAGAAGTACTAAGTGCTCTAGGCTGTTTCCTGGGGAAAATATTGTGAAGACATGAGTAAGGTCAACTAAAAATGTACATGCAAAGTAGGAGGCTTGTATGTTGTTTGAGCAAAGAAAAATACTACTTATTTAGGGAAATTCCTGCTTGTAATTTTATTCAATTTTTGGTTTCAAGACAAGGTTCTCAAGCTTTGGCTGTTTTGGAGTTCACTCTGTAGAACAGCCTGACCTTGAACTCTTAGAGATTATCCTGCCTCTGTGTCCCGAGTGCTGGGATTAAAGGCCCATCACTGGCTTTTAATATTATTCAAGTTATTGAGTTTGGTCTGGAAAAATGTGTCAGTGATTAAGAGTGCTTGCTGTTCTTGTAGAGAATTCAGCAATCTCTTCTGACTTCTGTAGGTGCTTGGATGCAAATGTATATACTCACACACAGATAACCAATGCTCATAACTTAAAATATTTTAAAATTAAACCTCAAATTACGTGATTTTGAAGGCATGTGTTGGCCTCCTGCACTTTCAGATTTTTCTTTGAAACTTAACTGCTGTAAATATATATATTATATATTAAAAATATATATATATTATATATAATATTATAATAATAATATAGACCTTTTGGTCTCTGGCCATAAAGATGTTTTAGCTAGTAAAGATGCTTGTTGCCAAGCCTGAGTTCAGTTCCTGGAATCCACATGTTGGAAAGTGAGGATTGTCTTCTGAGCTTCATGTATATGGACATATCTGCATGCTTAAGTGTATGCACACAATAAATAAAATTTAAAATATAGTTAAAAATGTACACTTTTGTTCCCAGAGTCCCTTCGCTCTCTTAAAAATTCCTGAAGGGCTGGAGAGAGATGGCTCAGTGTTTAAGAGCTAATACCGCTCTTATAGAGGACCAGAGTTTAGTTCCCAGCACCAACATCAGGTGTCTCTAACTCTAACTCTTGGAGGACTCAATGTCTCCGGCTTCACCAGCACCTGAACATTCCCCTAGTAAAAATAGGTCTTAAAAACCATTATTGAGCATGTCAAAGAAGTTTTAATTATGTATAGTCTCTCTAATGTTACTGGAAACTTAAACCGAGAAAAAATATGTATATTTAGATTAATTTAAAATGACCCTCTCCCATGCTAACAAATACTTTTATTTAAAAACAATTTTCTAAAATAAGTTTCAGTGAGAAATATGGGTTTATGTCTTTGGGAATCTTTCTCACTGTTTAGCTTACTCATTAGCTAGGTCCTCAATTTGCTTCTCCATCTGCTCTCATGCATGCTGGAGGCCCTGCAGACCATTGCACCCTCCTGAAGATGCGAGAGAGAGAGAAGCAATTGGAACCTGTCTGGGCCTACACGTACCCATGAAATAGCACCGTCTGCCTTACTCTTCTTTAGTGAGAATACAGAAATTAGGCCTAATATTGCTTCTTTAAAATATAACTAAGATTCACGACATAGTAGCACATGCCTTTAATCCCAGTCCTTGGGAGTCAGAGGCAATAGATTTCTGAGTTTCAGGACAACCAGAGATACACAGAGAAACATTGTCTTGAAAATAATCATAAAAACAACAACAGTAATTAAATATAACTAAGAGGAAAGGTTATAAGTTAGGGAGTTTTTATGAGATGTTTAAGTACTCCTTTACACAGGATCATGGCATTTTTGAGTCTTTACACCCAATCAAGTTTACCTCTCATTCCTTCCTCCTCATCCTCCAAATGTAGTGGAAGCTCCTTTGGAATGTCCTCCCTGACTGCGGTCCTTCCCAGGGTTACCTTTTCTTTGAACTTGTAGCACTTACTGTTGGCATGTGAGTCCCGTCTTCTTCTGCCTTGTATTACTCATCTTTTAAACCCTGTGTTAGCACAGCACAGACCCAGACTAGGTACTTGATTCTAAATCCTTTTTTTTTTTTTTTTTTTTTTTTTTTGGTTTTTCGAGACAGGGTTTCTCTGTGGCTTTGGAGCCTATCCTGGAACTAGCTCTTATAGACCAGGCTGGTCTCGAACTCACAGAGATCGGCTGCCTCTGCCTCCCTAGTGATGGGAATAAAGGTGTGGGCCACCACTGCCAGGCTCTCAGTCCTTTTTGAGTGGTCAGATGCTGAAGCAGACGTTTGAAATGTAGCATGCAGCCTCTAACTTCCCATACATTTGTTCTCTAACACCTTTTCCTCTTTCCTACCAAATAATGGTATGTACTTTAGTAAATTGATAAGTTGTGAATCTTCCAACTCCTTGGAGAGAATAATACAGTACAGTGACTTAAATCAGCTCTTGATTTTTGCTTAGTTGGACATGGTAGTGTATTCCAGTAATCCCAGTTGTTTGGGAAGCTTAGGCAGGAACATTGAATGAGCCCAGGAGTTCCAGACTACATTGAGCAACATAGACCCCATTTCAAAAAAGAAAATACTGTCTATTATTCCTTTGGTTTGTCATGGGTTACATAGATGCTTAACATAGTTATGGCATTGTCTTTGCAGCTGTGGATTTCTTCAATCAGATCAACATGTTATATGGAACCATTACAGAATTCTGCACTGAGGCAAGCTGCCCAGTCATGTCTGCAGGTCCCAGGTATGCATCTAGCCTGATATAGAGGCTTTTGAATTACGTTTTTTTGACTGATAAACTAATAATAAAGATTATTCTCACCTATTTCTTCATGTAGAGATAATTCAGTTTGTAAGTTCTTCACTGCATAGTAGTAGCTCTTATCGTTAACTACTTTGGAATATGAATAAGTACTCAGTGTTTAATATTTATATTGTAATTGTATTGCTTTATTATAGGAGTAAACATACATAAATTTGAGTTAGGGACCAGTGAGATGGCTCAAAAGGGTGAAGGCACTTGCTGCCAAGACTGACTCGTGCAGGTTGTTCTTAGCATGTGCTCTGGGTTCATGCCCACACAAATGTAATTTTAAAAGAAGTGGGACTTAGATCCGTCCAAAAGGTCTTTTTAAAAAAATTTAATGATTAGAGTTTAAATTCTTACAAGAACTTTTAGGTGGTCTTTTAATATTTGCTCATTCTTCTGGTACCTATATAGAATTAATGAAAGTAGCTGCACATCTAGAAGTAAGAATCTGTCTTAAAGGTACTGGGTTAAAATTAGGCTCAGAGTTTCCTATATAATTTGTTAAAGTCTCATAGAATTTTTTTTTTTTTTAAACAAAGACTTATTTATTATGTATACACTGTTTGCCTACATGTATACCCTCACACCAGAAGAGGGCACCAGATCTCATTATAGATGGTTGTGAGCCACCATGTGGCTGCTGGGAATTGAACTCAGGACCTCTGGAAGAGCAGCCAGTGCTCTTAAGCTCTGAGCTATCTCTCCAGCCCCCGTCTCATAGAATTTTTGTGGACAAAATGTGAACCTGTTTTGATTACAGACTTAACAGCTGTCAATAACACATTGTCGCTCTCGGCAGGTATGAGTACCATTGGGCAGATGGCACTAATATTAAAAAGCCAATCAAATGTTCTGCACCAAAATATATCGACTATTTGATGACTTGGGTTCAGGATCAGCTTGATGACGAAACCCTTTTCCCTTCGAAGATCGGTAAGTCACTACAGCACTGCCTTTCTTTCTAAATGATGGCTGTAATCTTGAAATGCTGACTTTATATCATTTTAACAGAGGGAGCCACACTCCAAAAGAGCTTGTACCCATGAATATTCCCCTAGCATGCCCACTTCTTCATCTTTCCCAATTTGATTAAATTGGATGTATCTTAAAATAATTACTGTGAGTATGTGATGAGCGTACCATGGCATGTATGTGCAGGTCAGACAACTTCTTGGATTTGGTCCTTACACCTTTATGTGTTTGTTTTGAAACAGGGTCTCACCCTGTAGTCTTAGCTGGCCTGGCACTCATGGAGATCCGCCTGCCTCTGCCTCCCAAGTGCCGGGATTAAAGATGTGTGCTACTGTGTTCAGCCTTTATGTGGATTTTGAGTATTCAAATCAGGTTGTTAGGCTTTCATGGCAAGCACCAGACCCACTGAGCCATCTCTTTGTGTCCGTTTAATATTGATGAAGGGGCCACCAAGATGGCTCAGAAAGTACCAAGCCTGGTGGCTGGAGCTTGATCCCTGAGACCCAGGTGATGGAAGTTGTCTACTGACTCCACATGAGCCTTAAAGTGTGTGCATGTATACACTTGTGCTCGTGTACACACAAATATTAATGAGATTAAATATATTTTGTTCTGTTTATGTCCTTTGTTACAGATAGTTGGTCTTTGCCATGTAAGCTGTGTTCTTCCCCTAGGGCACCTTCGGTCTTATATATAGGGTATTTTGCTCATAAGAAAATGAACATGAGTGGTTTTTTTTTTTTTTTTTTTTTTTTGTGGTGCTGGGATTGTGTGCTGGGTACGTGTTCTGTCCCTGAGCTGCTCACCACCGTAAATTGCATTTTAACAGTGAGAAAGGTTTTCTTTATTTCTAGATAATGACATTGCTTATGTTTATTTTATTCATTCATTTTAAATCTTCAGGCTGTCAGGGTTTTTATTTTGAGCACTGCTTAAATTTTTTTCTGAAATTAGCCAGTTTGTTCTGGTTTGATGTGAGTCTTTCCTGAGTTAAATCATGTATAGAGCAAGCTGCCATGTTTTAGGGCCTTGTAAACCTTGTGGGAATTGTATAGTTTCAGATCACCTTACAGGGTTAGCTCCCTGTGTTCTTCATAAAAATACAGAAACATTTTCCTCAAAGTAAAACTAAATGCTAGCTGGGCATATTTACACCTTTAATCCCAGCACTCTGGGGACTGTCAAAGGATGATCTCTGAGTTCCAGATTAGCCAAGGCTGTGTAGTGTGAGACCCTGCCTAAAAAAAGTAAAAGGTATAGATTTTTAAAATTTTCTTTAAGAATTATGTGTATGTGCCACAGTACATGAGTGGCGGCTAACTTTGAGGAATTAGTTCTCTCCTTTTGCCTTTATGTGGCGTCTGGGGATGGAATTTGTATCTCCAGGCTTGAACAGTAAGTGCCTTTACTTGTTAAGCCATCTCACCCCACCAGCCTGTTTTTATCAGATATTTTCTCATTGCCTATTTAATTTTTTTTCTTTTTAAAGGTTTATTATTTATACATTGTTCTGCCTGCATGTGTCCCTGCAGGCCAGAAGAGGGCACCAGATCTCATTATAGATGTTTGTGAGCCACCATGTGGTCATTGGGAATTGAACCCAGGGGCCTCTGTGCCATCTTTCCAGCCCTCATCTATTTTGATGACTGTCAATTATTCTTTTGGTGCTGGAGGTCAGGCCCAGGGCCCCCTCACATAGTTGAGCACATGCTAGTGTATCACTGAGTTACACCCCAACTTCTCCATTTCTTTCTAAAATGTTCTTCTAGGAGCACATTTCTAACTTGCTACTATTTTGGTTTTGATACTATACTGGAGAATGAAGTTAGCTTGCTTGCAGTTCCTGGGCTCTGAGAGGCTTCTTACCAGATTTTTTCATTCCTTTTCTTTCGAGACAGGGCTCCGGTGTGTAGCTTTGGAGCCTGTCCTGGAACTCACTCTGTATACTATCCTAGCATTAAACTCAGATCTGTCTGCCTGCCTCCCGAGTGCTGGATTAAAGGTGTGAGCCACCGCCTGGTGATCAGATTCTTCTTGTGCTCTTCTTCATAATCTAAACATTTAGACCAGTTTAAAAAACATTTATTTGCCTATTCTCTCCACCCCAGTGTGTCTGGGTGTGAACAAGGTCAGAACAGCTTGGGGGAGTTGGTTCTCACCGTCCACCACGTGAGTCCCAGAGCATGAACTCCTGTCATCAGGCTTGGCAGCGGGCCCTTTGGGATCATACCTGCAGTCCCAACACTCCAGAGGCTGAGGCAGGAGGATTGCTGGGAGTTCAAGGCTAGCCTGTGCTACAGAGTGAGACGTGTTACTAACAGCCTTCTGTTAACCCTTGCATGCCCTTTCTCACTGCTTTATTCTCCACTTGAACATGTTCTATTAAATTCAGTTTGGGAAGTACTTAGACTAAAAACAGCTTACATGTTAACCCAGTTAAGGTTCATTTCATTTTTGAGGCAAGATCTCATTTAGCTCAGTTTGGCCTTGAATTCACTGTGTAGCTAAGGATAACCTTGAATGCTGGGTCCTGTTGCTACCTCCTACTAGCCGAGGTTATAAAATCTCACCATCATGTCCTCAGAATCCTTTTTCCTCAGTTTCTCTTTCTACTGTAATAATTCTAAGTCTAGTCTTAAGTCCCCATTAAGCTATTATTGTTGTAATTTTTGCTAGTATTTTATCTTGTTGGTTAGAACTGTTCTTTTTTCTCTTATCATATCTCAGTCATTAGCAAGATACGACTTTTAAGAGAAAAGATGTTTGACTTTAAAACCTGTTTTGGAATTTCCTATGAAGATCTGTCCAAAGAAATAGCTCATAAGCTCCAGTGTAATATACGACTCGGTTGGGAATACCACAGAAATGAGCACAATTTATTATTAAACAATCAAGCTTTTAAGGGCTGCCTTAAGAAAAAAGATGCACGGGAGGAATGCTGTAAAACGCCTCTGTTTTCTGAGAGGTTGAAAGTTTAGAGTGGTTCAGAGGAACTGGCTTTCGAAGCAGACTTCCTGTCAATCCATAGCCTCTCACAGGTCCACCCTGAATTAGAGACAAGAGCCACGTGTTCAGCGGGTACATACAGCCCTCAGGCTTCCCCTTTCCTTAAGGACTTTGCTCTGCCAGCCAGACTAGTCAGGAGTGTGGCTAGTTAGCCCATGGTACTGCTTCCAGAGGTCTCCACACCTCCAGTTTTTCTCTCAAGGGGTGTTTTTCTCTGAGAAGGAAGGAGGTCCCCGTCTTCTGTTTCAGGAAGGACCACCCCTTTTCAGGCTCTAGGAAAATGAAGACCTACTTTTAACTTTCCAGAATAATGTGGAAGAAGAATGCTCTCTAGCGACTTGAGGACTATCTTCTATTTTGTTTTCCTGTTACTGCATTCCACCTCAGGGAGAGACTGAACTGGGACCGGCAGTCCATGCACTTCCGGCTTCTGTCGTAGGCAATCAGTGTGCAGGGTGAGGAACATGGACAGTGCTCTGAAGTAGACTTGAGTGCTTGAGCTTATGTGCTGTAGTTGCTTGAATAATATCAAGATTGGCTGCTATACCATTTGACTAATAGGTATGCGTTCAATTACAGGTGTCCCATTTCCCAAAAACTTCATGTCTGTGGCTAAGACTATTCTGAAGCGCCTCTTTAGGGTTTACGCCCATATTTACCACCAGCACTTTGACTCCGTGATGCAGTTGCAAGAGGAGGCCCATCTCAACACCTCCTTTAAGCACTTTATTTTCTTTGTTCAGGTAGGTGAGCCATATTGCCTTTTGACTTGGGCCTCGATAATTACTCAGAACACTGTCTTATTCATAGATGTAGACGTCTAAGTACAATGTTTGTTCTGTCCTTAGTGTTCTCTTTGTACCCTTTCACGGATTCATGAAACAGTATAGAAGGGCTGTGTCTCTGGACTGGAGAGATGGCTCAGCAGTTAAGAACATACACAGTTATTGCAGAGGACCTGGGTTCAGTTCCCAGGACCCATATCAGGAGGCTCACAGCTCCCTGTAAGTGACCCAGCTTCCACACGCGTGTGCACACATGTGCACGTAACTCAAGCCTAAAATAGGTAACTAGAGCTTTCAGAAAGAAAGGGGAGAACACAGCATCCTGTTTGGATGCAGCTGCCTGTACTAACTCAGAATTAGAACTTCAACAGCCCAGACTAATTCCCATTATTTAAAAAAGGTACTAAAGAATTATCACACTGAGACCTTGTTTCAGAAAACCAGAAAAGACAGCTGGCCCAGCTGTAAAGAGCACTTCCTGCTCTTCCAGGGACCCACGTCCATTTTCCAGTACTTGCATGAGGGAGCTCACAACCACCTGTAACTGCAGAAAATGAGGGGCTCAGAGGTTAAGAACACTGGCTGCTCTTCCTAAAAGGTCCTGAGTTCAGTTCCTTGTACCCACATGGTGGCTCACATCCATCTGTAAGGAGATCTTGTGCTCTGTTCTGGCCTGCAGGCATACATTAAAAAACAAACAAAACAACAAAAAACTCCTTTTAGAGCTAGGCAATTAATTCTGTATATAAAATGTCATTTTGCAGTAGAGAAACCTGATAGTTTTGTGGTTCTTATGGATTATGGTTCTGTGTTTGGTGCAAAGGCTATATCACACTCACTGTTTCTGTGCCGTGTGTGTGTGTGTAAGTTCTCTAGAGGTCTAGTTTGTGATGTTTAGGTCACTGTATATAAAGTCATGCATTCCATTTTGATGTTTAACACTCACAGCTACTGTTTCTTTCACTCCCCAGAGTTTGGTTAGGAAGGGAGGGAGCTTGATGCCCAGCACTGTAAAGGCCATGATTTGTCTTGGTCTTCCTGGGGCCTGGTCACACCTGGTGATCTTAAGCTCAGACACTGTTGACATGGAAGAGTTTCAATTTTACTTGTCTTCTCTTTCCAGGAGTTCAATCTGATTGATAGGCGTGAGCTGGCACCACTTCAGGAATTAATTGAGAAGCTTGGATCTAAAGACAGATAAATGTTTCTTCTAGAAAAGTTACCCTCTCGCTCTGTCTACTGCTAGCACTCATTGCTGTCTGGTATGGATTAGTGATACTGACTATAAGAAAACAGGATCAGAAAGACCCATTTTGTTGTCTGCAGAGAAAATTGTCCCAAAGGTAGGTTGGCCTGATGGATGGCTTCTGAACAAGACCTATATAGCACACCCAAGTCAGTTGCTGTGTGGCCACCACTGTCCTGTTAGTGTCCTTTGCTGTAACCTTATGACTAATCTCTAGTTTGTTGCCGATCTTTGGTTTAAGAAAACGATTGAGTTTTTCCATGTAACAGCATAATGGACTTTAAGGATTTTCAGCCGTAACGTGAGTTTTGCTTTATGTTACAAATTGAAATTGTGTTCCACTTCTAACTCCAGCATTTAGAGCTGCCGGTTCACCTTAAATAGTCTTCTAGATTCCTGTCTGTGTGCTGGTGTTTATAGATAAATGTATTTTTTTAGCCAGGCATGATGGTGTATGCCGGATAGCTAGCACTTTGGAGGCTAGCCTGGGCTACATGGTGAACTTGCTGCTGAAAAAGTTTGTTTTGCAAAATCCACAAGGCTGAAATCACAGGCATCTATGGCATGAGATTAACCAAAGTTATTTTAAGTGACTTTTTAAACTTTTTTTGCGATTGTGTCCACATCCTCATCTAGACAGACAAGACACAGACACAGTAGGAGTCTGTCATCAGGAGAGAAACCCTTCACCTAGGTTTTGGCAGACATCATGAACTCCAAAAAACTGACAGACTCAGCCTCCAAGCCCCTGTGTTCATTGATGATCCGTGAGGCCTTGCAGTTCTAGAGGGGACAATAGAAAAAAGTATTTAGAATATTTGATCATTTCCTATGTGATTCCATGTTTTTCCTGCAAATTGAAACCTAATGTTTATGTGTAGAAATGCAGACTTTGTGGCAATAAGGAAAAATGTAGCTCGAGGCTGTGTGCCTGCAGAAGGTCTCCTGCTGCCTGTTGGAGGGAGAGCTGGGGACCCGGCGAGGGGAGTGAGGTAATAGCTACTCTGCTTCATGTGTCACTACACAGAGGCGCGTTGAGCTCTTAGGGTTCTCTCCCACTTTGTCTTTGTATCAAAACTTGAAAGTTTCCTCATCCTATCAGGATAAAAGACTTCTTTATTGAGGAAGGCACCTGCTCTTCATTTGGTCCTCAGATCTTCCTCAGTGTCCTGGACACTTGCCCAATGGCCAGCGCTGTAGTTTATCAGCATTCTGTGTGTCAGAGCTGGGACCACCTGCACAGTGCTCACTGGCCACCTGTGGGGCTTTACAAAGGTTACAGTTGATGAGGTTTTTCTATTTTTTTATTCCACTAAACTGTACAAGAAAGAATTTCTTAGAAACTCCAGTTTAGTAACTCATTTTTAATACGTTCTTAAATATGCTTAGAATTTTGCTGAATCTACACATCACAGAGGAATTCAAGGTGGGATAACGGTTTAGGGAAAAAGCCGAGTTTGGAAGCACTTCCTAATGCAAGTGTGTGCAAAGGTTCAGATGTCAGATGTTTTGCAAGTGTATGAAAGTTACCTGCAGACAGAAAGCGGGCTTCTAGATGCCACTGAGAACACATCACCCCTTCAGCCAGATCCCATTTGATTTGCTTATGTGAGATTCTTTCTCAACTGGGCACAATCATTTTTATGATCACAGTTTCAAGTCAAAGATTTCTTTCCTTTGCATATATTTCACTGACAAATTCCTCTCCATGACTGAGCTCCAGCGGGGTAGATGCTAAGACATGGAGGCAGCTCTAATGGGACATAAAACGACCCTTGTTGCTGTTTTGAAACTTGAGTGTCTCTTCTGTGGCCCCCCCCCCCATTTTTCCTTTTTAAATGAAACAGTGCCAGACTCCCAAATTGACCTGCGCAGTGCACACATTGTGATGTTTGCTCACCTGTGAGGCAGAGCATGGCTAGTGGGCACTACACATAACACCGAAGGCATCAGTCTGTCCTGGGTTTATCTGCCCCACCCCCCGCCTCCCCAGGAGTCAGCTGCCCTGTCTGATGTGTTACAGTGGCTTCCAGTTGCCTGGTGAATTCCACCTTAGCCCTGTGGTGCATTAACTTCCAGGACTTCCTTTATTCAGTCAACACAAACTACATCACAGTGAAGTAACTTACCAGCAACCAGTTCCGAAGGTTCTTATACCCTGGTCTGCAGAGCTCTAGTTCCCACGACTGCTCCCTGGACAGCTGCAGGTCTGTGTTCTTCATGACTTGAAGCAAAGGCTTCTCTCTAAGCCCTAAGATCCTATAAGCAGTAGAGCTTCTCAGACATGACGTCATTACCTCAGAAGCATCAACAAATCAGGCCTGAAGACTGTGGTCATGGTGCCAGGGCCCCTCTGCTCTGTGAGCTCTCCCCTGTCAGTGTGGAGGCCTGAACAGTGCCAGCTTGGACACGAGCTGCTGAGCCTTCTGCAGTCATGGTCTTTCCTCCTGAGGTCAGGGAACATCCTAGCAGAGGAAGAGAGGAGGCTAGTGGTCTTCCTGTTTTATATTCAACTTTGACGCTGGGCTCTGAGGGACTTTGGAGTACATGTGCAATTGGTAATTTTACTAAAGCAGCTGCGTTGAGATTCACAGGGTTTTCTCAGAGTAAAGTATCAAACAAGTAAAGCCAAATAAATGGATGGCCAGTGTTCCACAGGCTGGTTATAGAGCAGCATCAGAAACTGTTTGCATAAGGTAGTCTTGGTTACCATCTAAAATAACTTAAAATTCCTCATGGAATGAAATCTATGTTGTATTTTTAAACCTTTAGGGCCTTAGTCTATTTTTCTAAGTCGTTAACTGTACTTTTTTAAAAAGTATTTTGTATCTACTTTTGTAACTTCATCAGAATAAACTATATTGGAAGCAAAAATAGCTTTGAAGTGTGTTAACATGCTTTTCTTTAAATATAGAAATGGGATCTTTGCAGGTTCTGTGGATTTTGATTACAGTTTAAATTTGGATGGTTGTCTTTGCATACCATTTAGTATCTGCTTTCTTAAAGCTTAGGAAGGAGAAGTTCCTAAATGAAACCAATGTAATACCAGAGCCTTATTCCAAAGAACAAATCCCTCTGACTACTGCAGATCCACCCCAGACAGAAATGAGCAGTCTCCATCCTGGGATGCTCATGGGACTCCAGGCCTTACGTACATTCCTGGGAAACAGGATGGAGGCTGTTGGGTTCACTAGTTTTCTTATCTTGAAGTCAAATATTCCTATATCCTGAAAACCTTCTCCAGTCCAAATAGCCACTCATCCGTTGTGGGAGAATTACCAACAAGCTCATTGTACTAGCCAGGACGGTCCTGTAGAACAGGGGTTTTCAACCTGTGGGTCACAACCTCTTTGGAGGTCCAACGGCCTATTGAGAAACACAGACGTTTACATTACATTTAATAACAGCAAAGTTGCGGTTATGCATTATATTTAATAACAGCAAAGTTGCGGTTATGAAGTAGCAACAAAAATAAACTGTAGTTGAGGGAACTATATTAAAGGGTGGTGAGAACCACTGCTTTAGAGGAACAGAATTGATAGAGTGGATATAAATGAGATGATTAAAATGGCTGACAGGCTGTGGTCCAGCTAGTCCAACAGTGTCTGTCTGCCAGTGGAAGGCGGAAGAACTCAGTGGTTCAGGTCACAAGGCTGGATGTCTCTGCTGGTCTTCAGTGTACACCAGAATCTGCAAGTAGGCTCCAATGCCAGTGAAGGAATGTACCTGCCACCAAGAACAAGCTTCCCTCTTCCACGACCTGGATGTGGACAGTCCACAGAAGGTGTGACCCTCATTAAAGGTGGACCCTCCCCCTCAGATGCTGACGAAAAGTGGGAACTTGCTAAGTGATGAAATGTGTGTAATACTCATCTTGTGTAAGATGCAGACGAGCTGCCAGTCAGCATTACTCATGCATTGGCACGGTCTTGCTTTGCAGCCTCAGTTAGCTCAGACTTACTTAGAGCCTGCGCTGTGGCTTCCCCAGGGCTCTGTGCCCGTCTCGTTTGTTGTTTTGGTTTTGTTTCAATAGGCCTGGAAGTGACCACGGAGTTCATCAAGATGGCCCAGTAGGTCAAGGTGTTTGCTTCCAAGCCCGACAACCTGAGTTTGCTTTCCAGAGCCCCGTAGTAGAGGAAGAGAAGCAACTCCAGAAGTCTGTTCTTTTACCTTCACATGTGCACCATGCCACGTGCATGCCCCCACATAACTGAATAGATTTAATGATGATTTTAAACGTAAAATGACTGATAACCTTAAAGAAATTAAGTGATCACCAAAATGCGTGTCAGGGTATCTAATGGCTGAGTCTTTGTAAGGTGTTTGAAATTTTAGAAGAGTAGAAATAACCCAGACAAGAGTCAGGAAGGCAGGAGTTAGGCTTTGGAACATAGCCAGAAAGTATGAGCCACGCAATCCTTTACCTTGGTCCAGGCTTTCCAGTCAAAGGCAACCTGAATGTCCCTTGGTTGGCAGATCCCAGGTCATAGGACTGTTTTGGCTCTGAAGGGCCTGGAAGGATAGTGCAATGCTTTACTCACAAAGTTTAGTACTTGGTACAGGAGGAGTACTTAGAACTTAGTACTGGGGAGGCCGGAGATGCAAGCCAGGTTTTTCAGTCTTTCCTGAAAATATTCAGACAAGGTCAGGAAGCCGATTCACAGCTACTTGGATTGAATCACCCCCACCCCCACCCCTTGGCCCCCCAAGAAAGGGTTCTCCGTGTAATTGTGGCTGCTCTGGAATTCCCTCTGTAGACTAGGCTGGCCTCGAACTCAGATTCACAGGGCTTAAAGGTGTGCACCACCACACCCGGCTGTAGGATTGAATTTTTAAGAAGTGATGTTCCGGGTGCTAGGAGGTTCTATAAAATGACTTACGAAAGATACCTCAGTGAGGTAAAAACAGGAGATGCATCCCAGGAGACCCTCACTGAGGAGTCCCTGTGGTGACATGGTGTAGGCTTGTAAGCCCAGAACAAGAGGGTCAGAAATCCAAGGTCACCTTCAGCTACATGAGTCCCAGGCCAGCTCGGGCTATAGGAGACCGTGCCTCAACAGTCAACAAAACAGTGATTGGGACCCACAGCAAACAAAGGTGAAAGCAGAAGAAGGAAGAGAGCAGAAAGGATCCGCCATTCCCTGGGCGCAAAGGAGATTCAAAACAAGGGCTGGAAAGAGCACTGGCTGTCCCTCAAGAGGGCCAGGGCTCGGTTCCCAGCACCCACGCTGGGGGTCCACACCCATCTGTAACTCAGTTTCACTTTCTTCTGACCTTGGACACTGTATGCACATGTACAAACATACATGCAGGCAAAACAGACACGTAGAATACAAAACTTTCAAGAGAGCTCAAGTTGTAAGGACACTAATATGGGTTGGTTGGAGGTGAGCCTCAAAAAAAGAGATTGTGTGACCAGATGCCTGGCAGAATGGGTGCAGGACAGCTCTGGTGCCGTGCCCTGCATTTGGGGCTCCAGCTGGACAGGTAGGTAACGGGGAGTCTTATGGAGACCATTTCCTCTGTGTGATAGGGAGCATGAGGATTTCAGACTGGACATTTTTCTCTAAATGGGTAGGTAGCCTCTTGGAAACTGAAGGGGTGCATAGTGGAATGCCAACAGTCCCCACAGTTTGTGGGTGATCTGAGGGGCAGGACTGATAAGCAAAAGCTCCCGTGTAAGTGACGGAGTAAGTCTGACCTTACCTAGGGCATTTAGCTTCAGGTGGCAAACTGGTCTGCACTGAAATCACTGCGGCTTTCCAGCAGGGCTGGCTTACAATAAGTCGGGGGAGAGGGGGAGACAGATGTATGCTTACCTCCTCAGAACCTATGTGCGTCATTGCCAAAGCATCTCTACCTATTTGGTCGCAAACCTGGTTGCCAGTGGTGCCAGGCTTTGTATAAAGCGATACACTGGAAAACTGATTTCTTTAGTTCTAGCCAAACCCTTCAGCCGGTCTTAAACCAGTCAACATCTAGTTAGTCCCTGCTCATCTGAACATGTGCTTTGAATAGCGAAAAGGGGCCACTCTACAGCTGGAAACAGTTTAGACAGTTTTAGTTGTGTTGGCATAAAGGAAGAAACTTGAAAGTTAATAAATTACTCCTAATTACACTAACCATAAGTTTTAAGGAATCAGGCAGAAAGACCTGTGTATTAAGTAATGGGGTGAGGGCTAGAACACAGACATCACTCAACACTGAAAAAAACTTTTTGTTTTGAGAGAGGGTCTCTGTGTAGTCCTAACTGTTCCAGAACTTGCTATGTAGGCGAAGCAGGCCTTGAACTAACAGATCCACCTGCCTCTGCCTCCCTAGTGCTGGGATTAAAGGCGCAGCACCATGCCTGGCCTATAAATGAGCCTACTTTTGGCTGACCATTTAAAGAACAAAGCCTGGTGGGGTCCACAGGGAGGTACTGACCACATAGTCACAAGTGCAGTGATGACGAAATCCCGCAGGCCTCGGGCTGCAATTACCAGCGGAGAAACGGGAGTGTTCAGGCCTCAGCCTCGGGCTGCAATTACCAGCGAAGAAACAGGAGTGTTCAGGCCTCAGCCTCGGGCTGCAATTACCAGCAGAGAGACGGGGTGTTAATGGAGCATCGGTTTTTATTCTCTGGCACTATATCAGTTGTTTTGCAGGTGATTACTTACCCTTGCGGTGTGTGCTTCTAAGCCGACTTTGGTGTTTTGTTTTGAGCCGGAGTTTCACTGTGTAGCCCTGCCTGGCAGGCCTCCGACTCTGTATATAGACCAGCATGACCTTGAACTCAAGAGATCTGCCTGGCGCGAGCCACCACACCCCCATCCCAAACTGGCCTGGAACTCACAACGTAGTAGCCCTGGCTGACTTTGAACACAGAACAGCCCTGGGGTTACAGGTTCCATCCTAGGGTGTGTCTCCTGCCATTTGGGGGAAATCCAAAACGAATTTCGTCTTTCGCCCCTCATCTAACACATCCCACCCCCCTTCGCCACCCCTCATCCCCACTCCTGCCCCAGGTTTACCATCCTCACCAGCTCTGCAGCCGCCTGTCCTCTCCAGCTTCAGCCCCTCCCTCATAGGAGCCAGAGCGCTTTCTAAAAAAGCCAGAGACCCCCGTTGCTGGAGAATTCCACAGGCACGAACTCCTTTCTGGAAAGAAGCCGGCTCCCCAGAGGGAGGACCGTCCGGTGCACCGTCCCGGGGATCTGGCTGCTGAGGTCGGGGCCCCTGCGGTGGGAGCTGCTGACCCGGCCTGCAGGGGCGGCCGGTTCCGGGCGGCTGGTTCCACGGGGCGGGCGCGGCCTCCGGGCGGCAGGGGGCGGGCTCGCCCAGGGCTGCGCTCTGCACCGAGTGCCGGTGTCTCTCCGGCTGCACTGTGACCTCGGGCTGCGGGCTGCGTCGCCGGGCATGGCGGCATGGGGCCCGGCGTCCGCTCTGCCTCTGCTCCGCGGAAGCCACGGGGTGAGCCGGCGGGGCCCGGGCGGAGCTGCGGGGGAGTTCGGGTGGCGCTTGTCCGGCCGGGGCTGTGAGGCAAGGCCGGGGTCCCTCCCTGCTCACCGATTCCCTCCTCCTGACCCGATCTCAGTGGGTGAGCTGATGGGCACGGCTCGGTGGATCGGGTTTAGCGGACCCCGTAGCGGAAAGCAGGGCTGCAGCCGTGTGGTCCCCGCGTCGGTTGCGGGGCCCTGCAACTGTTGAGAGCAGGCCCTGACCTTGACCCTTCAGAGCCTGCACTCTGCAGGGAGCCCAGCATCGAGCGAGGGTCTCACACTGTCGCTCTGGCTAGCCTAGAACTTGCGGCGTTCCTCCTGACTCTGGGAATGAAGTCCTAAGCCACGGTGCCTGCCCCCCCCCCCCCCCGTTCTCCCCCTCACACTCATCTG